TGTGTGTGTGTGTGTGTGAGAGAGAGAGAGAGACAGAGAGACAGAGACAGACAGAGAGAGAGAGAGAGACCTAGTGAAGGTGAGGGGAGTGGGCAAATGCCCACTGTCCACAGGAGCACAGAGAGCTATGTTTTATGTACAAATGCCCACGGGGACTCACGGACTCGCTCTCAGTGGAACCCCATTCCTATCGTGTGGCTCAGCGGCTTGGACACACGCCGGGTGAGTAAGCGCAGCGTGGACCCCTGCACCACCCTCTGCTTTGCTTGGCCAGGCTGGGCCCATTCTCTCATCTATTCCGGTCCTGATGGTCAAGATGAGACTCTAGAGAACAAAGGCTCCGAAGGATGAGAAGCAAAGCTGGCTGCTGACAGAGCTCTCCTGGGGGAGAGAGAACTTGGAGAGTGTGTGTGTTGGGGGATAGCCAGGCTGTGCTTCCGTGATCTTACCATAAACATTTTTTTTCTTCTAAGAGGAACTCATCCTCCCTGGCGGTACTGACAGCCTTGAAACATGCAAGGACCGGCCCAGAAAAGCAAATAGAAAAGAGAGGGAACTGGAGAGGGAAGAGAAAAACCACTGTGCTGTGTGCCCCAAAGCCAAAGCCCCTCTGGGAGGGCCCAGGACAGACCACGAAGGGGACCAAAGCCCCCACCCCTCCACGAGATAGGACCAGGAACAGGACCACCTGTCCACAAAGGTCCTTTTTTTCTGCTCAGCGGGCAGGGCCGGCGGGTACTGGGGCACTGGGGCAGGAAGACTCCACGCCCATCAGTACCGCCCTCCAGGCTGGCAGGGGACCCTCCCCCAACCACTCTGGGAGACCCAGCTCCCGCCTGCCAAGGGCCCGAGGCCAGGACTCGGAAAGTGAAATCTGATCCCCAGGTATGCAGCTGGGGGAGGGGGCGACACAGGAGCCATTAATCAAAGGCAAGGCCAAGGAGAAAATTACCCGGGGCTGAGAAGATGATGGTATTGAACATGTCTCTCTCCTCCTGCAGCCCCCCCCCACCATTTGCAGCCCCCCAGCCCAGTCCCGTGTGTACACGCCCACACCTGGCTGTGCGTGTGTGTGTGTGTGTGTGTGTGTGTGTGTGTGTGT